CACACAGACGAGTGTTACGGTTAATGACAGTTTCCACTCTTGCTTTTTTAAGAAGTTCGCGCCCAGAGATGCCCTTCAAGCATCAGCGGTTTCATGTAGCACCCTAGACGTCCTGACCGCCAAGCTTTTCCAATAACTTGCCGCTTTAGGGCATATCCGTTTGACGGTCACTGATCCAAACGTGACAAAAAACATGAAGCTGTTCGACATATTGGCGTGTCTGTAGTAGTGCGAGCAACACATCACCGCTACCGATTTCCCTTTTTTCTTCCATACGATCGCGATCGAACGTTTTGTCCGACCGGACGTGTTGTTTCTTAAAGACGCAAATCGGGCACTAGCCCAATTCGCGGACCAATATGTAGATGGACATATGTAGTAGGTCCTGTTCACTGATGGATGACCGAGATGGGATGGACGGGAGGGTGTAGGGTTTTGTTCCGTCTGGCTTTCAAACTGAAATATGTCAAAATGATATATGATATGTATAGAATAATCGGCCAAAATTTAATCGACGAAGCCGTTATGGCGACCCCTGCTAGCATCACTGCCCTCCTCAAGGCGAGGGACAGCGGCCCTTTCAGGGTTGGGCCCACGGTCGTCACACTTTTCTTTTTTGATTCTCTAGTCCCAATGCCGCCAGGCCTAATGAGTGCTAGCTCCCCATTGCAAACTGTACTGCGCTTGTTCCACGGCGATATATGCTTGCCCTTCACTCGAACTGAGTACAACAGTTGATGACTTTCATGACTGTCTTTACATGCGCCGTTGTCCCCATCCCCTTCTCCCTTGAACACGCGTTAGACGATAGTTCGCGAACTGGAAAAGCACCGCGCAGATGTACAAACCAATGCCATCATCGCATCAATGCCGACCGAAAGAGGCTAGATGATCCCACAGGCACCTAAACAACCGAGATACCCATCATGCCGCAAGAAAAGAACATCGAAGGGCTCCGGGGGCGACCCGAGATCGTCAGCGAGATCGGCAGCTGTTCCCTGAAGCGTCACGCAGATCCATATCGTTTGGCAAACCCAGGCACGCTGGTGCACATCTGCTGTGTGTCCGTTGGCTTGCCACCATGGTCGGCGATCCCTCGGTACTAGCGTCGTGGCCTTCCTGAGCTTCGTGTTGCCGAGTGGCTGAGGCAGCAGGTGGTGACAATGCTGTCGGTGCTGGTCGGTTCTCCGCGTGCGGCTCGGCCTGGGCGCGTGCGCGATCATGCGGCTGGGCAGCTCGATGCCACGCTTCTGCGTAGTGGCGGGCGTAAAAATTGACTCCCTCGGTGATCGACTGCATTGTCAATGGCCGATCGTTGATATACTTGCCCGCAAAGAATACCCTGACAGAGTGAGTGGTAAACGTAAACAAACGAGCGGGGCGTGGTCTCTGTCGACACACCCACCTTCTGACCCTGTGGACACTCCCGATCAAGTATGCGATGTAACCAAGGTTGTAAGAAACCATGTGTATGAGACTCCGCGCAATGTCCTCCTTCCTGACACAAAACCTCTGCCACGTGTGAACATGTCTCTGGTGTGTCCACATACATGCAAATGCACCCGTACTTTGGTGATTACCTCAGGCTTCCTCGCAGCTCAGTTGCCGATACACAGGTGTTCAGGGCGTATATTTTGCCAAAGCTGCTGGCAAGGGTATCGCCAGGAAGCACTCGACTCCCACCTGGAAAAAGGCAGCGGGACCACTTACAACGCTCTCCGTAACGACTCCCACCAGTTACAACGATGACCACTTACTCCGCTCCCCGAAGAGATCTCTGACTTTTAGGTCGAGCACGTCCTCTCCTGCACGTAAAAAGGTATCCCACCACAACAGGCGTCTGTGTGGTCTTGTTGACCTTTCTCTGACAGTCGAACGACTTCCTCGAAAGACGAGGCGTTGAACAGCAGTCGGGCAAGGCCAAGGACGGTGCCTGCAAGCGCGGTCCAATAGCGAACACGAGAAGGAGAAGAGGAAAATGAACGCATGCTTTTCAGCGGCCATCACCACCCCGTCCCTACCTCCGCCGATACACGTTCCAGTGACACGCAGAAACTTATCCGGAGCAGTAGCCTGGCATTGAAATGAACACCTCAGTATCGCCGTCATGGATGGCTGTCCATCTACCTTAAGAATCGACACTCCAGACCCAATGTTGACGACAAGGAGGGGATACACGTTCTCCTCCTGGTACATACAGCCAAACACCCTCACTCGGCGTGCATGGAAAGCAGAAAGCTACTGACCAGGTCGACAGGGACGCGTGTTCTGCTCGTCACATCGAAACGGAACACGATGCTGTCTGTTGCTGAGCAAAAAAAGAAACCAAACAGATCTAATGAGAGAGGGACGTCCGCGAGGCAGACCTGGTCGGCCGCGGGAACCGAACCCTCGGGAGCTGCTCGCGGACGTCTCGCTCCCCTGCATCCGTCTCGTGCTGTGGCTGTGTTGCCGGATCAGAAAAGAGAGCCCATTCATCAGCGACTGCATCTCGTCATTCTTGTGAATCTGAACTCCTGCAACTCAAAAAGCCATTCCCACAGGCGATTTCCGCGCACCATACACAGCTTTGTTTGTCAATACCAAGCTTCTTGCTGAGGAGGTCTTGATACTTGAATGCTCCTCCTCCGGTAACCTCCAGTGCCTGACCGGGTCTTACACCTACGACATCTGTAGGAAGCAAGACGGTAACGGACGCACACACACTGAAGCGCAGCGGGAACTCATCATCCTCACCCCTCAAAAATGTGATGAGATCCCCCATCTGTTTTGTCTGGAAATGAATGAAGCGCAGAGTGCGACCGTCCCCCACTGCAAAACACACAGAAGGAAAGTCGACACGCCCTGTCATTCACGGCCTGCGTACAGTCCAGCTCGAGATGGTCGTCTGGCGGAGAGAGCCCTTCGCTTTGATTGTGTGTTTCCCCTGTCGAGGAGAAGACGACCTTTGCTAAACTTCCGCCGACATCAAGACCAATTTTGGGTGCTCCTGCGAGGGCGGGGGTAAGCGGAGGAGCGGATGACTCACTGGAGCGCATGATAGAGCGTCGACAATTGAGTCCTTTTTGTTCTTGGCGAGGAACGAACGAACGATCGCGTCCAAGAAAAAGGGGAGCAATCCATCTTCATCGTCGTTTTTTCGGCAGAAGTCATAGCACGGAGCCACGTAGGCAACAAGAACAGGGAAGAAACTCGTTTCGCCCACCTGCTTCCTTGCATGTTGCAGCCGGTCTGCCAGTCTGTCAGCGTGTTTCTCAGCATGTCCCTCGCACTGGTCGTGAGGCAGACCGTCGAGATGCTGGCGATGGAAGGTGGGATCCACGGACTCCCAGTTGCGGAGCTGTGCGGCAGGCTGGACCTTCCAGAGGAGGTGCGCCGCAGGGTGAGTATCTGCTGGAGACCGCCTCGTCCGTGTTGTGATATACTGTAGGCTCAGGCGGCGCTGACCGATGCGCTCGCGGCGAGGGATGATATCGAAATCGTCGCTGAGGTGATCGGAAAATGACTTGAATCTCCCATCTGCCTCTTGATCGCCTCCTGATGTGCTATGGACTCCTGGACGTATCCAGAGGGGCCAAATGAGGGCACGCATTCGCCCAAGCAGCTCGTCCTCACGTCAGTTACTCAACATCGGTCACACCTACCCTCTGTCCAAGCACGAGGTGCGGCTCTGCATCCTTACTGCTATTGCTAAAAGAAGGTGTGAGAAAGCGATTGCAATCCTGCCACAAAACAATAATGCGGCACTCACCGATTCTTGCAGGTGCGAGGGATATTGGCAGTTCCAGCTTTCATGGGACCTCGGCATTGATCCGCGAGACGTGTTTCATCACGTCAAGGCCTTGACGCGAGACGGCTACCTTGTGCGCTTCGCGCTAGCCATTCCATCTTGGGCCCGCAAGCGGAAGGATGGGACGGTCATGGACCACAATGCAGGCAGCGTAGCCTCATCATCACTCATTTGGCTCGAAACTTACTTTGACCCTCTCCATATGCCTCGTCACGTGTGGGACCTGTTGTTTGCGTCCAAGCTCCAACCTTTCACAGAGAAGATACTGTCGATCATAAGTGCGCGACCTCAAGGCCTTATGCTCGAGAGCGACCTTGAGCTCCTGTGCCTCAGCTTTCTCAGTGAAGAGGTGTTCGGAGGAATTAATCTCAGTGAACATCAGATTTACCAGATTAATTCCTGTTTCTCTTTTCTAGGTGTCGCCGGTGGCCAGCATGAAAAGCGCCAGAAGTCTTTACAAACGTCTCAGGTGGCAATAATTGTCGACGAGGTGTTGGGCCCTAGATCCGTGTCTGGCTCTCGCAGGCGACGTCTGTTGCACGACGACAAAGCGAGACGCGTTAAGACTTGGTGTCCGGCAACAGAGAGGACTGAAACTTGTATTTGCGTCAATGCGAATGCAGGGTAAGGGACGACATGTATAGCGATGTTCACTGATCCGTAATGACTCATTCGTTTCGACTGGGTGCAGCACCGCTGACCAATCAGTTGAACCGTTAATAGAAATGCCAGAGGTGGCGCAGCACGGCGGTGATCTCAAAGAAGAGGATGAATCAAAGTCCACGATAAGGGGAATGAAAAAGAATGTCTGCCGCACATCTGACACCTGTGTGTGGGCTGTCTCTGAACACCAGACGAAGTGAAAGAGCGGCAACTTTTGTTGAACCATCGCCGGCGGATCAGGTGATGTTCCTTCACTCAGACACGCTGCCGCACCAGTTATTCGGTGGCATCAGATTCATAACCTTGTTCGCTCGACGGCATGCGGCGGCATCTTCACCCCCGACATTCAGTCTACCTCAGCCATACCGAAGAAAATGGTTGAGAAAGTGCTCGTGGTAACAGATGCTCCCCGTTGCTACCATTGTACAGACTGTGCAGTTCACTTTGCAGGAGTTAGAAGAGGCGGGACTGGTCGCGAAGGAGTACCATCGACAGCAGGGCCAACAAGGAAACGCAGCCGTGTTCCGATTTCATGCAATGGACGCCGCTCCAAGGTTTGCATCCCGAACAAAACGCCCGTTGGATTATCCAATTTTTACGACTTCTTCACTCTCATCAGAACAAAACGCGCCCCAGCACTTTCCGGAGATGCTCACGACAGGAAAGAATCTGGCCCTGCGGCAACCATTACACACCAGCTCCAGCGGCGGCTTAGATGGTGTGTTCAATTCATCGAGCGTGAGTGCCGGAGCATGCCCGCAGCTGAGAGTGGAGATGTTAGAAGAGGAAGGGGCGTTCTGATTACTGAGCTTCAAGACGTTGTTGGGTCGATGGAAAGCAGTGGGATGCCAGACAGGTAGCTTGAGGGGAGACTCCTTCTGCAATTCAAGCGAACGCGTGTCTTGTCATGTGTAGAAAAACTGTTGTGAAAATGCTTCCATCGATCCAGAAGATTTTGCCGACGCTCAAGATCTGCCAAGTAAAGATGAACAAATCACAGGTGCGAAAAACAGCTGGGCACCTTTCCAACGGAGCAATTTGGGGATTACATTGCTGCAATAGGCGGTCCGGTACGTGTTTCTTAGCGATGAGCTCAGCCAATCGGAAGCGGATGAGAGTGCCAAGCAGACAGTAACTTATTTTTCCCGCACAAGTTACTGTGCTATCATATCACCAGAGTTCTGTGCTCTATCAGTTGGGTTTTCGCAAACAAGCAGCACAAGATGCAGCACAAAGAAGGAAAGGGAACCTACAGGGGAATCTTGCCACTGTGAGAACGTTGAACTGACGCGGAGAAACTTGATGGCGAAAGCATTTTTTCTTCTTGCAGGGCATCGTTGGCGTGTCGCTGGCGTCTTCTGGTCCCAGAAAGAGCACCAGGCGGAAAAGGGTTCGTGTGAACAAGACTTATTTTGGCCTAAGGAAACACCAACAACAAATGCTAAATACTTAAGTAAGGCCTTTTTATTGCTCTCCGTTTTTCAGAAACAGCCTGACAAACTCAGGTTTCAACAAAGAGTTGCTCAATATTATGGCTACGTCTCGCCTGCAATGCTACGGCTCCAGCTGTTCCACCGCGCAGTTCTCGACTTAGCACGGGAGGCCCTTTTTCTCTCTGGTAGGAAATAGAAAGAAACTCAAGCGAACTTCTCCTTGTCAACATCGCCGATCGGCAGGCTACCAAGAGCCCGCAACAATGGAGGACACTGCTTTGCGAACAGAAAACGTTTTCCGAAACATGACTCTCGACACGTTCCTTCAAGTGGTATGTGCTTCGCAAGTTGATGAATTGTGTGTGCAGCTGCGCACAGTGCGTGGTTGTCTAACTTTCAGCTCGGATACGGATCTCCACTGCAGTGGGTCGAGGAATATCTAGTCAGCAGCCAACCGCCCATGCGAATGAAGGAGGTGCCTGTTTTCGAGATACGCAGTTTGTTGGACCCAGGAGGTATGGCACGATGATGTACAGATCCACATACCCTGTCTTTGCTCACGACATTCATGCGCAGGTAGTTCGAAGCAGTCCCGAGAGAAGTACCTGTCGCGCATATCAAGACTGTTCAGTGCTCTCTGTAAGCACCGTGATTGCAGGACTTCTTTCCTTTTTTCCTCGCATTTCTTTGTCACAGGTAACCTACATCTCGTGTCTGCCAATGAAAGCGCCCAACGCGTGTCCTGGATAATTCATCGTCGTGTCTCCCTTCACCGTTTTTCGAACGATCCGCATGTACACGGGAAAGACGCGAAACATTCGTACCACGTCCATCGCGTCTGATGGTGTGTTCTTCGCAGCAACCTCAAACGGTCATCGGCTCGTTCGACCTTTGGGAGCGAACCGACTTTGGCCGCTTTTGGAGCACCTTGCAAGTCTGAGGGAACAAAATGGGGTCACAGGGCTTCAAATGGATATACCATATTGGATTATGCTTGTAGGAAGAATCTTTCCGCTGGATTTCCACGAAACAGCCTGGTGTTCTGCAGAGTGTCGGGTCCGGGTCTGTCGAAACCAAAACCGCGGAAGACGCAATGGCTGAAAGGCGGAGCGAAGCGCTGGCCAGAAAAAAGGCACGAATTTCTTCATGGTTGCAGCGCAATTATTTTCTTTTTCTGTGTCAGAGAAAGGTAGACTGTCCAGCCAACGTGAAGTTGCGTTACTTGTTTTCCAAGAAGAACTGGAAATCTCAAAAATGCCTTGATGCAAGACGACAAGTAAGACGGGGCAGAGAACTAAAATACTTCTGTTGCCTCCCCTCCGTTGCCAGGCAAAGATTGAGGGGGTGGCAAAGAGCCTTTCCGACATGCCAGGTGGGAAGTCTAAAGGTGTCAGGTGAGTTCCTCCTCCGCGTTCCGCAGTTATTTCTGGTTTAGCCACAAGGCTCAATCTGCAGTCACAGGTAGATCTCATAGAATTGAATCAGATAATGCCGACTGAGCTGCTTCTAGCTGTTTCATGCTTTCTTAGGCAGCGTTCCACCCTCTCGTTCGCCGGCTGAGCTTCAGGTTCGTCAACCATCCGCACAACAAAGTGGGGCCTGGCACTTTGACGAGTGCAGGAAGTACTCCAACGGATTTCCGAGGACAGCAGCTGGAGCAAAAATTTGGCAGAGACGTCAACGAAGCGGCAGGAGTAAGAGAACGACCACTGTAATGCAGCTTCTTCTATTGCAACATGTCTTGTGTCTTTGCCTGGGATGCAGCAACCGAACAAGTCCGCGATCCTTCAACTACTGCTCAAGACTACAATGCAGAAGAACTCGGACAGCTTCAGCTCGTTAGATGGGATAAGGGAGATGAGATTCGAAGGACAAAATTCAATTCACTGCGTGGCTGTCCTTTGACTGTCGCAGACTGACCCCGAATGGGCGGATGCCCTGCACCAGTTCAAGAAAGGTAAGGTAAGAGAGCCGTTCTGCATGTTCTTGTCTCTAAGTTGTCAAAACCCCATCTCTATGCGCAGATGAGGAGAATCGGTTGCTTGCCTACGCCGTGGTGGCGGAGCGTCTGTGCAGAGCACCGGAACCGTCGAAAGCCATAGGTCTTATCGCTTCAGTATCGCAACGTTCTCGCAGCATCGCTTCCCTAGCGCATCCTACATGGCTGGTAATGAGCTACAGCCGAGAAAGACCCCTACAGCCTGTTTTCGCCGCACAGAACATGGAACTTTTTAGCGGCCACTCCAGTGAAAGATGTCGTCACGGTTTTATGATCATCGTGGCACGCACCCCGTTGGCCGGCCGTCTCTGGTCGAACTTCAGGTCATTGGTCCGTTTCGTGATCGACGAGTACAGAAGAGACTTGTTGTGTTTCCTCGCTGCAGAAAGCTGGGCATAGGCGCCTTTTGCGACTGGATTTGTCCCCCGACGATTAGTGATGTTGCCTATGAGGGATCTCTTGCGAACGTGACAAGCATTGTGCCCAGTGGCATCTCGTTTTCGAAGGTTGTAGCGGAAGCGAAAACATCAGAGCCTGAGCTACTCATGCGTCGAGCATTTCTGCGGGTCTCGTCTCACGAACTATCCGAAGAAACAAGCGCCGTAACATACGCTTCGTGCTTGTTTGTTTCATCAGATTCACTTGTTGACTCCAGTTTATGCATACCGAAGAAGCTGGGCGTCGACAAGTGTGGAGAGGCTGCTGAACCAGGACATCGAAACCACCCTTGCCGACTGGAAGCACAAAGGCTGGGTCACAATCGCAAAGACTGCTTCAACACCTCGCGAAATGGCCGTGCAGCACTATTTCTTCGATGCAGCAGCGAGAACATACGTCTTGTCGAAGTAAATTGTCAGAATTGAAAGAACGGAGCAGCAGTCTGATTTGGTCACGGTGCCTTGACATCAGATCGGCGCGGCTTCTCTTATTTGGCAAATGCCGAGACATCATCAACGATATGACGTTTGACAGAGTTGCCAATGGCTTCCAGTCAGTCGTCAGTCGGGTGACCAACAGTGCCCGACAACCTCTGCGTCCGGTGTGGCAGCCATCGGATGATTCGACCGTCACACTGCGTGATACCTCTACGAATGAAAGGGCGTTCATCTTGGTACTGAACAGCATCCGACTCCACCTTAGGGCAGAAGAGCCGCAGGTATGAAATCACCGAGAATATATGGTACGAAGGACTCTTGTATTTCTTGTTTCCTGCTTTCAGCCGAGATCATTCCAACGCGGTGCAACTGACGATTTTCCCTCTGGCACTGAAGCCGGAGACAACGCGTAAGCGCGCGGCCCTGTAATACGACAATCATCACAGCTACATGTTTGTCCCTATCTGGCCTATTCTTTGACCTCAGAGACGCAACTGAACTTTCAAAGTTTAGAAGGCGGGTACGACAGGCACTGGGAAGCAACGATCAGCAAGGTCCTTTCTTGGCACATGTCCTCCAAGCCGAGTCCGCAGATGAAGACGAAGTTTCAAACAGCAGCCGTGAATCGGCCGGAAACACAGACGAGAGGATCTCGCTCTCAACGGGAACGACGACGACGAAAGGATTGGAGAGCTTCCTGTCCGAGACGGCAATTATTGACTTGCTTCTTGTTGACAGGCTTCAGCGCAACCTCGAGATCCGAAGAACCAGCTTTCATGGTGGGGCTAAGCAGCGGACTGATTGCCCAGACCCTTCCTTCTTTCCCGTCGTGCTGAAAGCGGCTGCCATCGGGATGGGTTTGCAGCGGGGTCCATGCATCGAGCTTTCTGACGTCTACACGGTGTTGACAAGCGGGCTCTCTGGTGATGATGGCGTCCACATGTTTCTGGATGGAGTCAAGATATCCCAACCAGAACCCATTATTCCGTGCTACGATGAGGAGCGCGAGAATCAGTGTTTGCTAGACTCAAAAATGGCGGCGAGTTTGGAAATTGTTTCATCATGGCCCTCTCCAGCTAGCAACAAATTGTCACCAGACCCCAAAGCTGTTGGCGCTTTGCCCGAAAGATCTGACATCTTGTGTTTTCTTGAGGCGGCGACATCGTGGATGCTTCAACAGACAACCGCAGGCCCTCCTTTCAACTACTTGTCAACTTTCACTTATCCTCCGCGTTTCTCTCGTGGCGGCACTCTGGGTCCCGGCGAAGTCCGCTTCGACCCAACAGAGGTGCACTCCCTTGGACGTGCTTGTATTCGGCTTCTTCAACAAATTCAAGCAGGCGGTAGTGCTGGCATTGCATGGAGGGATCTAGTCTCGCTCTGGAGCCGCCAAGCCTGTCCACCTATTAGTACAGATCCCGAGAAAAATATCGAATATGTTGAGTGGAGATGTGCGCGGAAAGATGGCTACGTTGCGCGGCCAGAACGAGTGTCTGTATGTGACGGAAGACCCTCTATCGAACTCACCATTGACTTCGAGGGAACGGCATCCAGGCCCAGCAGGGATCTGCTTTCTCTTCCTGCAGTACTTGGCGGCATTATTCCATTCCATACTGCTGACCATCAGAGGCTGCGGATTTGCGTACGTTTTTGTTTTCGAGCCTGCTTACAGTTACTGGAGACGCTTCGTCTGGTGGCCGTTTTCCCGTGTCAAGATGATTTTCGCGTGGTGGCATCCGATAGCGCTTCATCCTACTGCCTGCCGATTCGCCGGATTTTTAAGTGTTTGCAAAAACCCGCAGCGGCCACAGGTCATCAGGAACACCCTCTTCCTGCTGCTGGATCCCTCTTCAAAAATACCGGAAGTGCTCACGTGCCTGTCTCTCTTTGGCGTCGTTGGGGCTCTCCTCTTGGTTCTCAATGCTATTATCACGCCGACGAGCAACAACGGCGATCATCTTCCTTGTATTTGCAACAGCGATCTGGCGCAATTCGCTATCTGAGCTCTCTTCTGAAAGGGACTTGCGATCTCATTACGCTCGATGACAACCTGGTGCCTGCATCAAGGTACGCGAACTATGTCTACATTTCACTTTCCATGCCTACCTCCTTATTTCTGTCTCTCACCGCTTCCAGTTGGGTGCGGCTCGACGGGCACCTGAATGTCATCCTCGTGTACATGCTTTCGCTACGAGTGATGCGTCTCGTTCGAGCTCTTCCAGAAAGCACTATTGATTCCGTGAGTCTATTAATGGAACGGCTGCCTTATCTGCTACTGTTTTCTCTCTCTCCTGCCTCTTCTGTTCTTTGTTTAGGTCTGTGGCCGCTTTGTGTTGCTGGACGCTTGCGAGACGAGGTTCTTGATCGAATGCTTGGTGATTGAGGGTTCACTCGAACTAGCAGATGACGGAAGTTTGATCAAGTGCACGTCTTAGAAGAGAAGTATGTCACCCATGTCTGATTTCGTACATGATTCTGCCATCGTGCTGCGTACGATCCGAGACAGTCCCACTCCCACATTAGATACACCTCGATTATCACATTCGAATATCCATCTGATATTCCCGTGACAATCTATCTGTGTGAAACATGGCCATCACGCAAAGAGCGCCAGACTTGCATCTCACGTGTATATGCTCGGGTCTGAAAGAAAGTTAATCCAATTCTGTTTAATGTTCCGGTTCCCTTCCTACCGATTGACGATGGAATCGGTCTGATCTCGGTGCCCAACTCTTGCTCGATCCTGAGGCCGTGCCAGCAGGGAATCGCAGTTCCACAGGTCGCCAGAGCACATATTGATCTCCACAGGGATGTACCTGTAGAGATTGAAGCGGTCTTCGAACGTGATGAGGTTGATCGCCAGGCCCAGGTGGCCATATCGCCCACTGCGCCCGATTCTGTGAAGGTACGTCTCGCTGTTCTTGGGGAAGTCGAAATTGATGACCACGTTGACACTCTGAATATCAATGCCTCGGGTGAACAAATCTGCAGTGACGGCATTATGTGGACAGTTTCCAACTACATCGCTTGTGTTGTTTTTCCCTTCACACCTGATGACACGAGGCAACGGCATGCACCGTTCCGAAAGTCATGGAAGACCCGGTTTCGGTGGTTCTGCATCATCCTTGCGTGAATGAAGAAGCATGAGTAGCCGAGTTCGGTGATCTTCCTGGCCAGCAGCTCCACCCTCGTGACACTATTGCAGAAGATTATCGCTTGATTGATCTGAAGCTGGAAAGACGGGGAGACAAACGCCGACAGGGACGGCCGACGGGATGCGAAGCTGATGCCGATCGTCTCAACTCACCTTGGAGAAGAGGGTATTCAAGCAGTGGACCTTCTGCCTCTCCTCCACGAAGGCGTAGAATTGCGTCACTCCCTGCAACGTCAGCTCCTCCATTAAGTTGATCTCGTGCGCATCAGGCAGATACTTGTCCTTGAACTGCTTGACTGTGACAGGGAAAGTGGCCGAGTACAGAAGGATCTGTCGTTCGCTTGGGAGAAAGCGGAAGAGCTCTTCGATCACAGGCTGGAATTCTGGGGACAGCAGCTTGTCTGCTTCGTCCATCACTAAGATGTTGCAGTTGGACAGATCGACCACGCCCTTGTTCGCCAGGTCCAGCACCCTCCCTGGGGTGGCAACCACCACGTGAGCTCCCTGGTAGAAGCGCATGATGTCCTCTCTCAGGCTTGTGCCGCCGGTGGACACCATGCAGTCGACGTTCATGTGCTTGCCAAGCTCCTTCACCACTGCCGACGTCTGTAGCGCCAGCTCACGGGTCGGGACCAGTATAAGTCCTGAAGCAGAACAGAACTGGCGATGTATACCGTATGTGTGAGATAAGCGCAGTCAGTTGTTCTAATACCTTGTATTGCTTTTTTCATGGTGGACGTCTTCTCCAGAAGAGGGATGACGAAGGCGGCAGTCTTCCCAGTCCCGTTTTTCGCTCGTGCAAGAACGTTCTTGCCGGCGAGAGCAACTGGTATGCTCTCCTCCTGGATGGGACTTGGCTTCTCGTACCCCTGACATTACCCGCCGTCTCAAGAGATACCATGTGATCTCCCACCTTGTTTCCGCCCACCTTCTCAAATATTCCCATAAGCAGCTCGCGCTTGCTGCACATCAACACATCCAACACGTCAATGTGGTCGCAGGAACATCCGGGGCTGTTTGGCGGTTACAGGAAGTAGTCTTCGAAGTCGTTGCCTTTGGTGCCAGTAACGTCCTTAGTTTTGACGCGGTTGTCCTTCTGGGGCGGCTTGAGAGTCTCCTTCCAGTTGTCGTCGTTTGCAACCGCAGCGGCTGGGTTGGAGGCACTGCCAGACATGTTGTAGTTCGACGACGGCATGCCCTGGTATCCCCCCGCGCTGTGCTGCATGCCCATCGATGCACCGCCATAGTTGCTACGCCCAGGTTGCACCCCAGGGCCACCGTACGCGTTGTAGCCGCCTGTCAAGAACGGGAAGAAACGTTCCACCCAGCAGGAAGACAACCCGAAGGCGGCACGTCTGTGGCATCTTCGCTCTGTCCCTTTCTCACCTTGGTGGGTCGAGCGTGGCCTGCCGTAGTGCATCTTTCACTTCAGAGATCCTCGACAAACTGAGCAGATCTCGAATGGGGACGTTGCGAGTGTATGGAGAACCTGATGTTCCCGCTTTTCCTATCGACGCGCAACGACGACTGTATGGATCCGGGTCGACGAAAGGTTACGAGGGGAGAGGGTCCCCAATTTCGCTTAAGCGGCTTTCCGATATGAGGAAATCCAAGGAGGAAACGCCCGGTCTCAATCCCGCCCTCCCACCTCACCCGATCCCGTGAAGATCTGGCGACAGCGTATGGTGAAGGTGGGATGCAATCACCGTATCGGCGGCATGCAATCTGACAGCGTATTTGTGAAACGGCTGCTACGTGATTCACCCGGTGAGCTCGAGCTCTCGGGCGGGACTGGCAGAGTTTCTTCTTTGTCCTCACCAATGAGGAAGATGTTCAAAATGCACGTACTTGGCCCCCCCCCTCCC